TCTACGCCTTGTTATCTCTTAATATGGGCATTGATGTTTTTGTGTGGTGAGGCAAGGGAGGGAGTGGTATTGATTGGGCCAGGAAAAGAAAAAAAGCCCCTCAAACATTTCAAAGGTCTTCAGATACAGTGAGCTACTCTGAAATAGAAGTGATACGGTAATGTTAACAAATGCATCATCCATTTTGTGTGCCATAACATTCCACAGATTGTAGTTTGGTTTTGTTTGGTGAGGAAAGGATGTTGACTAAGAGACTGGGGACACTGTACAAGTAGTACCATGAAATCTATAATATCCTCTGAACAAGAATGTGGTGTCCTAGTAAAACCTACTAATTATGTGATAACAAATTAGACACTTACAAGGCAGTGAGAGAAGTTTCATTATGAGGGAGAGTTGTATATCATCCTGATTCTTCCCAACAGCCTTTAGCATTATCTCCAGATTTTTTTTTCCTTATTCATTCACGGGATGAGGGCATCACTGGCCAGGCAGCATTTATTGCCCATCCCTAATTGCCCAGAGGGCAGTTAAGAGTCAACCACATTGCTGTGGGTCTGGAGTCACATGTGGGCCAGACCAGCTAAGGATGGCGGTTTCCTTCCCTAAAGGACATTAGTGAACCAGATGGGTTTTTCCAACAATTAACAATAGATTAATGGTCATCATTAGATTCTTAATTCCAGATATTTTGTTGATTTCAAATTCCACCACTGTTGAGACGGGATGGAGGACAGTTCCATGTTTACCAACCTTGAGTACACCACCTAGATGAACAATCATCATTGTTCCCTTGCATCAAGACAGACTATATGACTATTTCTGAAATAAGCTTAATTCTGTCCTTCGTGTTTTAATTCCTGTTTACGAAGCTGAAGGCAAAGTTAGATTGGCAAAAATATTTTTTAACATAAGTTGCTTGGAATGAAGACTCATGTGAGCCTGAGAGCTTTTGAGCAACCAAATGTGGTATCTGGAGAATGTTGTGTAGATGGCCTTCACTATCCTATCCTCCAACCCAGCTGTTCTCTGCTTCTACATCTTGGGTGCTACCAGCTGTTTTGTCAAAAACTCTGGTCACCATGACAAAAGCAAAACGCCATTTTTTCTAAAGAGTGTATTTTTACATGGATGTGTGTTTTAGTATTATACTAACCATTTTTAAGGACATTTAAAATTGCAGTGATTTTGTTGAGAATACGTTTTATTGGTAAATTATAAAAAATAAAATGAGGTAATGATTGAGTCAGGAGTGAGAAGGCTGTAGGGCATTTCATTTGCAAGCATGTCATTTCTTGGATTGGCACTTAGTTGATCTACCCATCGCACAGGTGGGGTACATACCACTGCTCCAACTTTTAGATGCTGCATCATATTGATGATTTACAGGAAATGGGAAGAAATTTTAGTACAAATCTTCACTGGATGTATGTCTTCATTCTTCCCACATCACTTGTTACACTCCACTCTTAAAGCTGCCGACTCTCACTGGGACACAGTTCCTAATGGTGCTGACTCTCACTGGGACACAGTTCCTAAAGGTGCTGACTCTCACTGAGACACAGTTTCTGTGCTGACTGTCAATGGGATATAGTTCCTGAAAGCGCTGGCAGGTAGAAGGTTTATGAAAAACGGCAATAAGCTCTTCAACTATGGAAGATAGTCTCTTTATCCCCACCGAGATGCTTGATCCGAACAGGAATTACCAGGATTAGGCTCTTTGATGACTCCTTACCTAAGCACAGGCTGGTTATGGAATGTGGAGATTGGTGGTGAATGGGACTTAGTCCTGGACTTCAGTTATTCTCTGATGGGATGGAAACTGAAATCATGGGAAAAGTCATATTATGGCAACATCCATGGAGAGAAACAGTTCACATTGTACCCTTCCATCAGAATTGGAGAAAGTTAAAAATGTAGTGTAATATTACATTTTTAATCGTCCCAGTTCCAGTGAAAGCTTGGGGTTACTTGCCCAGTGATATTACCACTTCATCACCACCACCTCCACAGTAAGGACATTTCAGCCACTGGACCATGAAGGAAGCAGAATGGGTTAAGAGTTCCGAATATTATCGTAGAATTATCTTGCTAAGAGTCTGGCAGTTATTGGGAGGTGCTGTTACTGGGAAGGATTATGTCACTGACCCAAACACCCTTGAATTCTCTGAACTTGCAGATTCGTTATAAGTCTAAAGGGTTTGTCTGAAATTTAATAAGGCACTGGATTAGTTGAAACAAAGTGAAACAGACAGGGAGTGTTTAGAGCCAGTAACAAGACTCAGCACAGTTCAGCGGTGGTGTTTAATGTGTTGATTATTTCTCGGCGAAATGCTTCGAGGGGCCAAATGACACATTTGCAGTGAGAACAGGGGCTTTATTTTACATTAATAAGTAAGTGTCAGGCTGCATCTCATCTTTCCATGTGTTGAATTTTTAGCTAGGAGAAGCATAGCCTCAATGTGCATCTGATTTGCATTTCTGAGGTGTGAATGGTGCTTTCCATTGAGTTTTGCTACAGGCTCCAGTCATACCTGCAAATCTCCATCCTTAATTATTTCACTCTCTTCCCAAACACGTTTTCCATTTCCATTTCTTCTTCCTGTTCATCCTGAAAACTGCCACCTTTGCAGCAAGTATAACTCCCTGTTGTCCTGCATTAATATGAACATGATGATCAGTAAAGTGGCACTTCAGTCTTAAGGAGCTAGGCAGTGGGGCAACAAAGCTGATTTCACCTTCTTGTGGCATCCACACATTTGCACTCGTAATGAACTCGCCGGGTAGCTACCAGGAATGAGCCTTGGTCAATTCCCCATCCTCTTTGTACTGAAATAAAAGATGGCTGCAGCTGAGGTCAGTTAATTGTGTAGAGACTTGGCACTGTGTGAGGTTCCTGGGACTTTGCTATTCTGAGTCACTTGGTACCACACAGGGCAGTGCATTCATTCACCAGGCAATGTCGGAATTTCAGCTGATTCCTTCATTCCGAGAGAAGTGTCACATTAGCTTGTTTCCTGGCTCATTGAGGATTGTGTTGTAATGCTTGTGTAGATATCACCAGTGGTTTTCCTGCACGAGTTTGGACAATTTTCATTTACATATAAGATGCTTATTTTGCAGAAACATTGTAATTTTTTCATTTAACGTTGCTTCTCTATTTCTCTGCAGAATCTGTAATCCGAACATTCACCCCTTTCTACTTCACGGTGGAGCCAGCAGACACGCTAGCGATACGAGGGGCCTCGGTAATACTGAACTGTTCAGTGTTTGCTGAACCCAGTGCCAAAATTGAATGGAGAAAAGATGGGACATTCCTAAACCTGGTTTCAGATGAACGCAGGCAGATGCTTCCAGAAGGTTCACTGTTGACACGGAGTGTAGTACATTCCAAACACCACAAACCTGATGAAGGATTTTATCAGTGCGTCGCCACTATCGATAGCCTGGGTACAATTGTGAGTCGGACAGCAAAGGTGACAGTGGCAGGTGGGTACTATTGTGGAGCGTTACCCTCGGCGGTCACTCCATTTACTCTACAATTTGTGCTACAGCTGAGGTACTTGGTTCCTCTACATTCCCATCACTTTTTCCAATTTTGAATCTTTGCCATGAATGTGCCTGGAGCTTCAACTTCTAAATTCCATTCCTGGACTTGATATAATGATTGTCCTACCCCTTTTGATTCAAGCAGATTAAATGTTGCCTCCTTTCATCCTTCCTCATTACCGGTGTTCTATGCAACAGGCTAGTTAAACTCTGGTCGCACTTGCATCTAGCCCGTAGCTCCTGCCAACCTGTGGCTAATATTTCTTGACTTTACCACAGGGTGCAGGTGGCAGAGGTAGGGGTAGTGTGTGAAAATGAAATCTCTTCATCTGGGTGTCTCAGTGGCTGTTGGTGGTTTCTTTTTGTGTGTAGGGTGCTCGTCTCAGCCTTGCTTTCCTACAGTGTGCAGAGCACAAGAAGCTGACCCAATGACAATAATACCCATAAAAGCAGTTACTCACAGGCTGTTGCTAGAGCTCAGCAATTTACCAAAATATAGGGAACAGTTCAAGTAAAACTTTCTTGGGCTTTTGGGGAGTGATGCACTTAATATTTGGTCCTTTTTAGAGATGAAACACACACATTCTCTGGTTAGCTTTACCATTAGAGCTTTAAGAGTGTCACACAGATGGTTCCTGATATCCTAGGACCATCATGTTGTCTGTAGTAACCAGACCTGTGATAGACTTATTAAAAAGCAGAGCAGCCTCAAGGACCACACTCGCCAGTTCGTTGACCAATACTTTCCAGTAGCTATCTACGTTGGCCCTCTGCAAGTGTCAATTTAGACAATGGGGTATCTAACATTTCATCAGTTGCATGTAGGCAGACTGAGTCCTGTATAGGCAGCCTCTTGTTGGATGCTGATCAAGAAGAGGAACATCAGTCAAACCATGTCCTAATTCTAACCTAGGGACACTCAGATTAGCTGTAGTTTTTCAGCTGCTGTTTTAATTAGTGCGGAGAATGGAGTGAAGGTGGAGCTTCTGGTCTGTGTGGGTCATTTTCATACTGGCTGGTGAATTTACTGGTTGAAAAATGCGAATGCTATAGCATGTGGAGATTACAGTCAGGCAAGGAAGACTATGCTGACAGCAGTGCCATTCCTGGTTGAATAATTCAAGTTCAGTGTGGTTTTTGTGCATTCATTAAGATGGCTCAATCCATCCTGAACCCAGTGAGTATTTATGTTCTGCTCAGACATGTAAAACCTTTTTCCCTTTTATTCTGGAATTTCTCTCGACCTACATTGGGTTTTGTAAATCGGACAGCATTTGAATTGAATAAATAGATTGTAAAGTTATTGAGAGCGCTGAGAGTTTTCTCAGTAATTTAATTTAAATTGTGTTTTGGAACTCATTTTCACGCGATGTCTGGCATGTTACTGAACAGCAAATTGAGCTCAGACTTTGCTCCTATCTTACACAGGGGTACTGGAAAACTTTGATGGAACTTGAAAGTGTGCATGTGATTTGTCTGTAGTAAATTGTACAGTGTTGCAGGCATGTTATTGTAGAAATGATTGAACTGAATATAATAATTATCATATGTCCATCAATCTAATATTTTCAGGATAGTACCAATTCCTCTATGATGTGTTGAAAGCAGTACTGTTAATTCTGCACATTCTATCCAACAGCTTATCATCTCACTTCAGTATTTTGTCCCTTTCCTCCATCACTGAGGCAGCTGGCTTCTGTTGTTGATAGGAACCTGTTGCTTTCCATGACATTGTCCAGTCTTGCTTGCCCAAGGAGTTACCAGAATTGCCACCCTGGCTGAAATATTCATTCTGGCATGACTATGGCTCTAACTTTGAAATTCTCTACTTCACACATCATAGGCCACACTAGAAAATGCCATCTCACAGCCCTTGAGGCTTTCCAAACTATGATGGAAAGCAGTAGATTAAGAATGTTTTATTAAAATAAGCTGTAAGGATTTTTTTAATCCCTTTCAGCCAGTGTTTGAAATGCCTACTTCTGATGGATCTTTAATTCAAATGTTTTGGAAATTTCAACAATTTGTTGAAGCTTTCCATCTTGCACTCATCTCACCTTGATTTTGCAGTGAGTATACATGTTCTTTCTGTCTGCAAAGAGCAGGGCCCTGATTATGAGTATGTATCATCCAGTATGTGCAGTGTGCCACATTGTGAGCTCAACTGACTGTCCTAAATTGGATGTCATCATCATTCTTCACATTCAGGATTATCCAACAAATGTAGTCCAGTAGCAGAATCATGTCTAATGTTAGAGACTGTGTTGTGAGTTTTGTATGTGCCAACTAATGGGAAATGTCAGTGTCTTGTTTGAACAGCTTGTTGTGAAGAGTTGAAGGGATATGCTGTTTGACATGATTTGCCAGGTTTTGTGATGTACATTTACATACTTGATATTACACCAGCACTAAAATTCATATATCATCTTATTCATTTAGCAGACAGAACTTCTTTTTGGCTTTTGATAATTCTGACAGTTGTTGCTAGCAAACTTGCCTCTGGGTTAGAATGTTAATGTTTCCAGAAACTGGAGCACATTGTCCCAGCAGACTGATAGAGTCTTGTAGTCTCTTGTTGAGACTTTCAGCTCGAAACATTGACTCTGTTTCATCTTCTCCAAAGATGCTGCCAGACTTGTTGAGTTCTCTTACATTTTCTGTTTATATTTGAGATTTCCAGCATCTGCTCTATTTTGCTTTTATTTGAGTATATAATAGAATGCTGTCTATTAGTATTTCATGGTTAGAAATACAAGAATTGCATCAGAAATATTTCCATAATTAAACATACACATTTACACAGAATTTTACCACATCGATAAACATGTCTCAATTCACATCACATCCAATACATTGCTACAGCTACAGAGTCAGTATTGTGTTGGCAATGTGCTACTGTATTGTATACAGAGGGACCCAATTAAAAGATGGAATATTTTAACTCACCTATAGGAGCATACACTCAGGCCCTCAGTTTGATGTGTCAAAAAAAGGATGACACCTCCAACAATGTGGTACTCCTTCAGTATTGCCCAGAATTCAGCTGAGGTGGCTGTGTACATCTCAGTTGTGTAGAACACAATTTATTCCACAGTTTTTGACATATTTTATGAAGAAAAACATTGCAGGTGTTTTGTGCATTCAATTTGGTGTGATGAATTTTACCCACGAGTAACAGTTCCAAGAGTGATTCAAAGCCATATGGAGCAGAAAGTCACAGGTTCAATACCCGCTGTCTGCTCGGGTTGGCTCATCCCAGCTGACTAACAGACGAGCTGCTATAATCATTCTCAGCAGCCATAGGCTGGAAGGTTTAAAGAAAAGGGTCCCTGCAGCTGATCACAATCCATTGACTTTTACAGGAACATTCCTCAAGGGAAGGATAAGATTGAATTCAATTGTATAAAAAGAACTGCATTCAGATCTCCTCAGAAAAGATGTGTTGGCCTCAGAGGTGCACATTGAGAATGATACCAAGGTTAAACAGATTAAGTGTCAAGGAGAGCTTGCACTACCTATGTTCTATTTCTTTGAGTATAGAAAATTGGGAATGATCAGAGTGATGCATTTCAGATGATTAAAGGATAAATAGAGGGAAACTATTTTCTCTGGTATAGGGAGAGTCTATAAAAGGGACCATAATCTTAAAATTAGTGTTCGGCTGTTCACAGTCAGAATCAGAATTGAATTCAGAGTTGGAGACATTGTCAGAGGGTTCTAGGTGCCCAGGTAATTGCCCATCAGAAGTTTGAACATCCCAAGTCAATTCCCAAGTAGCCGGTATATCAAGACTTTTGATGGGACCCATAGCACATCTTTCTGGGCACATTACTACAAAAACTATCTTGCCATTTGGAAGATCTATGCTCAGGAGGTCTCGTTTTTAAGATGGAGATGTGAATTGTTTTCTGTGAAAAAGTCATTAGTCTGGAATTCTGTTCCCCACAAACAGTGGAGACTGGGTCATTGAATTTATTCAAGACTGAGTTTGATAGTTTTTGATTAACAAGGGAATTGAAGGAAATGGAGGATAGGCAGGAGGGTGGAGTCGAGATCACAGTCAGATCTGTCTTGACCGTGGTGAATGACTAAAGACGCTGTTGGTGCTGAATGGCCCAGTCCTGATCCTAAGACTTTTATTCCTTACATCAGGAAACATTTCTTCATTGAAAAGGTTGTAGGAATTTGGAATTCTTTCCCCATAAATGTTGCTGAGGCTGAGAGTTAATTGAAAATTTACTAAACTGAGACTCATTCTTTAATTATTAGCCAAGTGATTTATTATAAGTGATGAACTGAAAGTGTGGTAAGAGATGGAAAAACCGTGAATGACAGAACAGGCTTGACAGCTGAATGACCTCTTCTTGTTTTATGGCCAGCTACGATGCTCTATGCTTTAATTGACCAAGAGTAGTCAATGTGTAGGTTCACAAATGAAGAATAACAGTCTGGATAAAGTGGCAAAATATAGTATCTGCAGAGCTGAACACCAACAAAAAATATTTGTGAAATTATAGTTATAGACATTGATTCTGACAGTGGGTTCGTGTGAAGGTCCTGCCAGAATTCTGATGACTGTGAACACAGAGCTAGAGTCATTGACCCAGCAGCATCTGCCAACTACTTCCCACCTACAATGTGTCTGCAGTATCTAATTACTGTCAGCTTTGCTTTCACTGTGTGAACGGCAACAGGATTTTTAGTTGCCAGGTTACCAAAGAGAAAGAGAATGAGCTGATGCTGAATATTTGGAATCCAGTAACTTCTGTGTTGTACTGCTTCCTAAATTGTAAGGATTACATTTCACAAATATTTCAGTAGCTGTAAGGCAATTTGAGATGTACTGAGGTTGTGAAGTGTGCTATATAAATGCAAGTCTTTCTTTACTGAGCTTGGAAACTTGCTAATTAGTGGAATATTGCTTGATATTAAAGCTGTTT